CAAACATTTTGGTAGATATTACTTTTCTCAAACAAATTATTTTTACACTTGGAGGACCCTTCTTGGTATTAGAGTGTGAGTATGTGAGTGTGAATGAGTTAAGTTTTATTCTCGGTTGATCTATCTCTTAAACCGGTTTAGTGATACGTATATATTGTAAAGAACACTGTGTTTCATTAACTCAGAATGTGAAATAACAACCATAACAAACTTTATACTCTCTCTCTACATTCTCAACTTTCTCTCTCTAGTTCATCTTCATCGAGTTTCAATCTGAGCTCTAACACTTGGCTTCATCATCAAGTGTGGCGGAAGGCTCAAAGCTGAGATGGTGTGCTTCTCTTGTCGTTACTTCCGGTTTTCAAATCTGACTTTTTGTGTTTAAGGTTTTTCGTACCTTTGTTCCTCTGTTTTAAGGTTTTGATACGTTCAATGTTTCAAATTTTTTTTTAAAAAGGTGAAGTTGGAAAAAAAAAAGATTTGTTACAAATCAATCCCACTTCATATATTTTAGGGCTCCTCACAGAAACTATTCGATAACATAAATACTCGCAATTCTCAAACATTAATTCTCGTTAAAAAAAAAAAAACATTCTTAGCTGAAAAAAAATCTAGCGCAGTCCAAAGTCAAACTGATCATAACGATCCCACGAATCGAAGTTGTCCAATAATAGATCTGAATCAAACACAACACTTTCACTGCCAGATGATGACAAAGGAGTGTAAGAACCTGATGGTGATAATTGATTCTCTTGAATCATATTTTGACAATAATCTTGATCATCAGTTATCTCATGGTACTGATCAATTATTTCTTCTTTTACCACGTCTTCTTCATGCTTAACCGATATGGAGAAACCGCTCGAGTGGCTGGTTTCCTTCTCCCGATCAAGATCGTTTCCGAATCGGATCATCTTGGCACTTTTTACATCATCCACCGGATCAAGAACGGAAGTGAAAATGTCATCTTGGTTATGACTGATTTTGCAAGTGTGTTGGCCGAAGTAAGTGGTTCGGTAAACCGGAGGATTGTCTTTGATCTTTTGCTCATGCTTTCTTGCTTCGCAGTTATGATCTATGTTGTAAGAACATCTATAGTAGCTCCTGTTATCAAAATTAATGCATAAACCAATTAGTATTAGTGATCGGAACAAAAATAATTAGAATTAATCAAATATGTTATGTATTAGACTATTTCTATTATTACCTTTGGTGATGAGATTTTTTAATAGACTTTTGGCCGTATTTCCTCCAAAGAAATCCGTCGTCGTAAAGCGGATCTGGTGAATCGTCCCTCCAATTCTCACTTGAATTTGTACTATCAATCTTTCTGCAACACATGGTGGTATCAAAATATTAGCTTACAAATTCACACAAAATTATATGTTTGAGTTTGCATATTAAGTTGCATCTCTCGTTATATAATTAGATCACGAGAATCTTGTATCACAAATCACATTCTGCTTTAATAAAAGTTTCACTAATTGTTTCAAAAGCTAATTAAAGCAAATGCTCGAACAGTTATGGACTTTCATCAAGCTTTTTTGCAATAAAAAACAAATTTTAAAAATTTGTAATTTGATTTGGAA